CCAGGCAGCCATGGGATGATGCACGCTGAGCTAGGTGCATGTGGAAGCAGAAGCCATGGTGGGGGTCAGCCATAGGAGGAGATGCGTGGGAGGCCCTGGCTGCACCTGGAGTGGTTGAGGTGCTCAGGAGCACCTTAGTAAACTGAATGCCTCTGGGGTTGTTGCTGGCCAGGTGTTCAGGCTGATGGTTGAGGCTGGAGGCAGGAGGCTGACAGAAGTTGGGAAGGGGGTGAGAGGAACAAGTGCCCTGTGCTCAACAGGAGGATTTTTGACCACAAGTAGCAGTGCAGCAGGAGGGTTTGCAGCAGGTGGGCTGGCAGATGAGGGGGACAGAGGAGATAGGGCGGCAGCAGGTGGTGGCTGGACAACAGGAAGGGGCGCAGCAGGAAGAGGAGGAGGACGTGGTGGTGCAGCAGGAGGGTCTGCAGGAGAGAGGCACACAGCAGGCAGCTGGGCTGCACACGGGCCTGCAGATGAGGGACACACAGGTGGCAGGGTGGCACAAGATGGTGGCTGGACAGGAGGAGGGGGCACAGCAGCAGCAGTGAGAGGATGAGGAAGATGAGGATGAGGATGAGGAGGATGAAGAAGATGAAGACTTGCAATAAGTGGGTTTGCAAGAGAGAGGCACACAGCAGGCAGCTGGACTGCATACGGGCCTGCAGATGAGAGACACACAGGAGTCGGGGCGGCAGCAGCTGGCCTGGCAGCAGGAGGAGGCTGGACAACAGGCTGTGGTCACACAGCAGCTGGGCTTGCAGCACGCAGGCAGTGCGATGCAGCAGCTGGGCTTGCAGCACAGAGGGCTGCAGCAGCAGGACTGCACTGAGCAGGGAGAGGCAGCGCAGCTAGGGGCCTGGCAGCTGGACTGCTGGCAGCCTGATGGCGAGCAGCAGAAGGTGCAGACAGACTGGCAGGGGCTGGGTTCACAGGCTGGCTGGCAGGTGGCGGGCACAGAGCAGACTGGGCGGCAGAGCAGGGTCAGGCAGGAGGCTGGCGTGCAGCAGGGGGCTGGGCAGCAGGAGG